AGAAAACGAAGCTTATATATAAATTTATAAATATAGATAGTTAATAATCAAGTTTTTATTTATTATATTGCTATGTTGTCAACATGAATTTTTAATAACAAAAGTTTTATCATATTTGACAAAAAAGAAAAAAACTATAACTGGCAAGTGGCAACGTGTGTAGGAAACGAAGATGGCGGCTTCCAATACTAACCAAGAAGAGATAACAGATGATACAATTAATAAAAAAATCGAACCTGGAGTTGTTTATTTAAGTTACATACCTCCCTATATGACTGTTAAACAAATCAGAGAGTATTTTTCAAAATTTGGTGAGATTGGAAGGATTTATTTGCAACCAGGTAAGACGTTGACTAGAATATAGTTTTAAGGACTAACTAATGCAGTTGCACAATTGCAGATGTGAATGATACTGTTTGGACCTTAACAGAATTGTAGAGCATGCCCATAGGAGCAAAAACGTCAAAGGAACCATACCTCTACATGTAACTCTTTGTGAGATAGGCTATAGCTCCGAAATCAGCCTACTTTCGGGATGCGATCAGCAATCGTGCCATGCACTCTGCTAAGACTATTGCATTTAACTATTCAGCCCAGCTTGACTGTTCATGAAGTACTTGATGTTAAATATTGTTTGGGGATATGGGGGAAAGCCCCCACATGGGCACTGAAGTGTGAGTGATAGCAAGCACTGAAATGCATGGTTATGTACAAAGTGTCGATTAAAGCTTGCTGTCACAAGCCTTGACTGACACAGAGCATGAAGAATTGGCAGTAGTACTGGTTCAAAGTAGAAACTGTTTCCAGTCAGTAAAAGAGCACTGGTCATCATGCCTAAAACATAACTTGCTTACAAACATGACAGCCACAAGAAGATGGTGACTGGAACTGCTGCTGTTGGGGTTTTACATTTGGAGGCAAATATCTTTCAAAGGGTTGCATGTTGGACTTTTCTTTACTCTTTACCAAAAACTATTGGTAGGATGTCTGATCACTGTGTTGGGCTGTTTGTTAAACAGGCCATAGGCTTAGTGGAATGTGCAGCGACTCCCTGTAGTGCCTCAAAGTAAGCTAATTTTGGGGATTAAATATAGTGGTATGATTCCTTTGACTTTTTTGCTCCTATAGACGTGATTTACAGTTCTGTTAAGATCCTAAGTGTCATTCACATCTGCAATCTTACTCCAGTATCTCTGCATGCATGGTTATGTAATTGATATTGTGTTTTCATATTTCTACAGTGATTGTCATCAACTATTTTAAATGAGATGTACATTCTCTTAATTCAAATAAACAACAGCATCACCACCATCATTTTGACACCATATTAGAAATGGAAAATGACTATTTTCCATTGATATTAGTATGCATATACAACATATCGTTGGTGCACAAGAATAGTGACACAACTCAAAAATTTCCAATTTCGAGTTTATTGTAGAAATGTATAGCAAACTCCCCATATTTTTATGTCGAAGAACGAACACTAATATTTATTTCCAAAACAGATTTGAAAATTTTAAAAATCCAAGATCATGACAAAGCCTTGTAAGAAACAAGAAACTTTTAAATGGCTGTTCTGGAAGATCTATTTTTTTGAGTTGTGTCACTATTCTTGTGCACCAACGAAATCATCTTTAGTTATAAAAATATATGGCTATAAAAACTATGGCTATCCTTCTGGGAGTGAGTCCTGCACTTCCAGTAGTTGTCCGTCAAATCCTCAATTATAATTTGTCCTGTGAACAGACTCTGTATTTTTGATATTTTTCAAATAACATTTTGTTGACAGTATTTCTGTTCTAAAATTCTTTATTTCTAAAATATGAATGCATTTATGTTCTAGTAATCAATAAAGTAAATTCCAAAAAGAAGTCAGAACTTGCATTGTTCCATAATGAAGTTACATAAGTACTTCTATGTTACTACATTTCACTATACCTTTAAAATGCAGTCTACTTTTGTCAGTTCTCTAACGTTTTCGGTCTAATTTATAGACCTTCTTCAGGATTGATGTAAAATATTTTTCGGTCTATAAATTAGACCGAAAACGTTAGAGAACTGACAAAAGTAGACTGCATTTTAAAGGTATAGTGAAATGTAGTAACATAGAAGTACTTATGTAACTTCATTATGGAACAATGCAAGTTCTGACTTCTTTTTGGAATTTACTTTATTGATTACTAGAACATAAATGCATTCATATTTTAGAAATAAAGAATTTTAGAACAGAAATACTGTCAACAAAATGTTATTTGAAAAATATCAAAAATACAGAGTCTGTTCACAGGACAAATTATAATTGAGGATTTGACGGACAACTACTGGAAGTGCAGGACTCACTCCCAGAAGGATAGCCATAGTTTTTATAGCCATATATTTTTATAACTAAAGATGATTTCGTTGGTGCACAAGAATAGTGACACAACTCAAAAAAATAGATCTTCCAGAACAGCCATTTAAAAGTTTCTTGTTTCTTACAAGGCTTTGTCATGATCTTGGATTTTTAAAATTTTCAAATCTGTTTTGGAAATAAATATTAGTGTTCGTTCTTCGACATAAAAATATGGGGAGTTTGCTATACATTTCTACAATAAACTCGAAATTGGAAATTTTTGAGTTGTGTCACTATTCTTGTGCACCAACGATANATAAATAAACTTGTTAAATTGATTTCATTCTAGAACACATTTTATAAGATATTCTTTTACAAAGATGCATTTCTTATTTTAAAAAAATATATTAAATTTTAAATGTTTTTAATCTATAGTAAACAATTTTTCATTATCTTGACTGTGTGCAATCCTCAAACTGCAAATTTCCAAATAACAATTCTTTTAAAATTCAACAAAGATCTCTAAAGTCAGATTTAAATCTATGAACTAACAAACTAGAAACAATGGACATTGCTTGGTAAAGCAACTTATACAATGCTTAACATACATGGTAAATCTAATTTTAACAATTTTTCTTTACATAGTGATTGTTATGAAAAATTTATAATAAATATTGTATAGATTTCTTCAAAATAACAAACATTGTTTTGGTAACTTTAGAAATTCTTTAGTATATATTTAATTTTTTTAATAAATCATTAGAAGAGATAGTGATCATAAACAAGACATCACTGAGAATAATTGTTGGAGCAAGGCAAAGCTGAGCTACAACTAACACTTGCCTTCATGCATTCCTTGTCAACATCATAACTCTAGAATGAGTTCTCCATTCTTGATGAAATTTTCTAGGACAACTCATCATCACTCAAGGATGAACTGATTAAAATTTCAACTCTCAAAAATGATCCATTTTTGTAGAACTAGAGATAGGGGTCAAAACAAAGGTTGTGTTTTTCTTCAGTATTAGAGGTCAAAATGAGTTGACTAAGGCTATGTCCTACTTGGCAGTGTCTATTTATCAAGCCTATTTATCCAGAGATGAACTTGGTCAGTTCCAAACGGCAGTAGAGATATATCTAACAAATGAGCAAGTTAAACAAAGCAATGAAGACTACTTGCAGTCAACTGCAAGTAGTCTTCGTTGCTTTGTCAATATCGTCCTGCCTTCATCCAAAGATGACTCAGCTCTTGGTCTCTCCAAGTATTGATATTTTAATCTCTCAATTAATGCCAGAATCATGCTGAGAGTCAACTTATGGGTGCAAGGAGGTCTCGTCAATGGTTCACTAGGAACTATACGTTACATTATATATGCTCCTAATGCTAGCCCTCCAGTTCTTCCTCTGTTTATTTTAGTGGAATTCGATAGCTATCTATGGTAATTTGTTTCCAATAATCCCCATAACACGCTTTTCAAACGATGGCAGTATATTGCAATCTCGTAGACAGTTTACCCTTACCTTAGTATACTTGATGACTATACATAAATCACATGGATTAACTCAAAATAGATATAGGTAAAAAGGAGATAACTATTGGTCTTACCTATGTTGCATTCTGTCAAGTGAAAAAAATAACTGACAGTATTTTTAAACAGTTACAATAAAGATTGCTATGAGTCAATCTGTAAGTCCAAGGCATATAGTAATAGACAGAATTTCATGATATGTTGGCATAGCAATTAATTAGTGGCTTATTCTGACCTTATATTTGTACCTTTAAATAATACAATAGAAATCAAATATATTGTTGAGAATGAATGATTCTTTCTCTCTTTTTTCCTCATAGTCTAGAAAATGATGGTGCGAGCAGCCTCGATCTGACTACACACCAATACAGCGTTACTTAACTAGTTTATTATATTAATATTTTAAATAATAATTTTTATAGTATAAAATATTTCATAGATTGGTTTGTTATTCTTTTAAATAAAATATTGGAACTGAAACTGCTTTGTGCATCTTTCATTCATTTAATTTTGTTTTTAAAACAAGGTCTGCTAATCAATGCTTATCTTGCAAATCACTAATTTTATTTTACAAAACTGTTATATTGAATACATCCACTTGTAAATGTATTTTGTACTTCTTTCTTTCTCTTCAGTATGGATATTAATTGTAACCATACTGAAGAGGAAGAAGCCTGAAATATGTTCATAATTGGGTGTATGGTAGTTTAGTGAGACAAAATTGATTATTTGCAAGTCTTGACATTGTTCATTAAATTAATGTAAGCAAATTTAAATGTTTTAATTTTTGAAAAATATGCATTTTATTATGATTTTATGCATCGTAATTATTGATGATGATGATGATGATTGTTTTTCTCATGTGTGAACAAACAAACAAAAAATGATATAATGAATATAGAATTTCAAGATGATGATAATATAATTTGGGTTGTGATATATATTAAAATATATTATAATTAAATTTGAATGAAAAGATATAATTTTGAAAAATATTTTAAATAAAATAGAATGTTAGTTACACATAAAGCAAACAAAAAATCTAATGTAAGGTCAATTTATTTTCAAAAAAATTTCCTAAAATTACTTAAATATTTTGGAAAAATTAAGTGATTAATTTTATTTCTGATTTTTAGATTTAAGTGGTATCATTTATCAGAAAAAATAGCATACGAAAGAGCATCCAGAAGCCAGAAAATGAGAGCTGAAATATCTCAAGCCAAACAAGAAAAGGAATGGTTTAAAAAGATGTTGGAAGTAAAAAGGAGACTCAAAACTTAATTGTGTATATACAAATTGTAATTTATTGTTAATAAATATGTATTTTTCAGAATAAGCATTTAATATGTAATAGTAAAACACGAGTATGAACAAACATCATAGTGAAAAATATTCTCAATGATATTTAAAAACTTGATAAACATATTATTTGAATAGTATCATGCGTTTATAGGTAATACCGAGGTTGCGGCCGCCGTTTTCAACGCGAAAACGTGTACGTCGGACGTTCAGCGCCTGTAAGTCTAGAAGTTTGACAGTGGCGTTTGAAATGTCAGTGGAATCATGCTGGACGTTCCAAACGCCATTGTCAGACTTCTAGGCTACAGGAAGACGGCGCTGAATGGCCGAATTAGGGCTGCTTCAAAGTATGACCGACTGGCCCGACTCCAAGTTGTGTTGCCATGGCAACAGCAGTCTGCCGACAGACTAGTCGTTCCAGTCGGACAGATTTGAAAAGTTAAATATTTGCAGTCGGTGAGCTACAGCTAATGAGAGCTTCGAAGCTATAACCAGAGTTTAGATTTATCCAATCTACGTCGAAGTTAGAAAATGGCGGAAAGTATAGATTTCTCTGAAGCTTTAATAAACGAAGTCAACATATCCGTGGCTTTATGATATTCGGCGAGCCGATTATAAAGACAACATAAAAAAATAATTCTTGGACGGAGATTTCCAAGAAACTAAACGTTGAAGGTTCGTGATTGACTAATCTAATAATGGCGCGATATATCTAAATGCACGATCGCTTTCCGTGACGGCCATGATTGGCTAGTGTATTGATCTATAACACTCGTTCTGATTGGTCCTTATGAGTCGGCCACCGACATATAATCGTACATAGTGTGAATGCTTTTACTACTAGTCGGTCCGATTATAAAATCCGTCAGGTCGATCATAGTGTGAAACAGCCCTTACACGTTTTCGCGTTGAAAACTTCGGCCACAACCTTGCTATTATACTTGAGCGTTAGACTTTCTAATGAAATTAATTTTAATGATAAAAAAATGAAAGCATCATTGTCAACAGAGTTGAAAAAAGTCAAAAACATCAAAATAATATAAAAATTTATAATTTTGAGACCTAACGACTCTTGTATTATACACTTTCAGGTTTAGAAAAGTGCTTACAACATGCTTAATAATGGGTTTTCATCAACATGATTAGAAAATTTTGAGTAGACGAATCTGTAATTTTACTAGAATTTCAATTAAGCAGATAGCTTAATTGAAATTCATCAGATTTCACTTTGTTCCAGACATTAATTTTGGTTTCCTTTTTGGATGTAATATGTTGTGAATAAATAAAATTTTGTTTTTAGGACTTCACATTTAAGGATGAAAGTTTGAAAGGGAGTCAGTGAGCAAATTATTGTGCATGCATATAATTTTCAAAACTTCCTAAATATAAAAGTTATTAAAAAGTTATGTATATATACACACAGGTTGATGGAAAAAGTATTTTTTAAAAGAGATTAATACATGAAAGGTTGGAAACACATCTATAGCTTATGTATGCATAAAAATCACATCATATATAGAACAATTAAATAATTTTTCAAATATTAACTTTTATGCAGTTCATGCTTTCATCTCTTTGCTTGTTATCTGCTGCATGAAAAAAATTTCATCGAAAATTTTGTGAAGTTCGGGAACAAACGTAACATCATAAAATCCAATTCAGTTTCTGGACCAACATAAACCCATGTACAGTCAGGGAAACCAAATATTGCACTTGATCAATGCCAAATATGTCTATTTTAGGGGAGGTAAGATGACGGGATGGGATAGTTCTGTAGTAATTTTGCTACACATACCAGTACCTAAGCTGTATGAGTATCAGTTGCAATATGTCATTTTTCCTCGAAAAGAGGATTTGTGTAAACGAAAATAAATTGTTTGTAGTCTGGGGATAATTGAAAAGATAGAGGAGAGGTGATCTATTAACAGTCAAATACATTTTTATTTCAACGGAGACCAGTGGCGTGCCGTTATTGGAAGCGGTGGATGCGCCGCTTCCCTTGTATTTTATAAAAAAATAAATACATATTAACTTTAATTATATGAAAATTATCGCACAATATTTTATTATAACCGCATTATGTATCTTATTACAAATTTCTATACTACACGTGAAAAAAAGATAAGATTGCTATTGTATATTCGAATATTAGTGGCGGAGTGGAAACGCTGTATCGTCAGCATCCAAAAAAGCCAGATTCGCGCATGCGCTTTACAGAGCACCAACCTCACCCGGTTTATCTGGTGGACGCCTAGGACCTTGGGTGGATACTACACGTATAACGCATCCAATTCTACCCAGGACTGGTTCCGGGCTATTAGATGCTCGCCTGCTAGCTATTTGGCCGCCCTCGCCTGATTACGTGAATCGCGAGTAGATTTCTAACTTAACCCAATCAATAAGAATTTACTGGTATGTTTTTATGATAGTTTTCTGTATAGTTGACGGGTGTTTAAAAAAATCCGTTAAAATATTTGATATATTTATTCCGCTCTCTGATTTTATATTACTCACGGATTTCAATGTTAAATTAGTGATATTACGATTTCGTATGTCCCATCTTTAAGGGGATGTAGAAAAAACGTGTACAACTCTTGTATAATGTTAAAAAATTAACTGTTACTTTGGTAGCATCATTTACAGCTAAATTTAATGAATGAGAGAGATGCACGAGGTACAGAAAAAGCTCTAGAATTTATTTTCCTTAAATTTACGATTTATGTATCCGTTTGTCATAAAAATTTGTCTTTCCACTTTTTTCCGAGACTACAAATATTCGAGTACAAAGTAACTGGTTTTGACTTATTTCTACTTAAGAAGTAGTTAAATAATTAAGCGATTAGGGAATTGGGGACATAAACAAAACCCTGATGAAAGAGCCGGAATATTACTTAAACAAAAGCTTAACCGAACCAATCTATAGCCGAGTACAGTGGGGATTGATTTCTTCGAAATACTGTATTAAATGTAATAAAGACAGAAATTTTTCCAGTTCAACGAGAGTGACCGAAAAGTTGTAAATTTTGGAAATTTCCGTGGAGGACACCTGGTCCTAAAACGAATTAGTTAGAAAACAAATGACTATTAAGTTTAACATATTTAGATTTTTACAGCTATGGTGAGAAACGTTTAAAATCTACAACAGCCCTGTCGCGTCCTTTGAGATATACTAGTGATGCGACAAAAGAGGTATTTGACATTGACCGGTATCGGCACCCTGGGGATTTGGCAGTCCGCGTGTATGCACGCTCTGCAACCGTCTTCGATTCCATCCATTAGCCACTCGTAGGGAGCTATTTGACTAAGTGCATTGTTTTAAGATTTAAAAAGTAAAGAATATTTTATATTTTTATGTACGTTTCATTACAAAGCTATATTTAATTATAATTTTCTTTAAAAGTATATTCATACAATTGAAGAATGTTTTGTATCATGTATGTATATCCACCACACATTTTATTTCACCAAGTAAGTTTTTATAATTTTATTTTTAATTGTAGCCCTTATATCGTGGCTAGCGATTCGAAATGTAATTGTGATATTAAAAATGCATTTAGAGAAGTCTACGGTTTTTACTGGCTTATCGAATAAACGATACGAATGGACCCTAGACCATCACTGACGCGCAAGTGACTGATTGCCCCTGGATGTCGGCTTCTTACAGAAACACATCTTCCCTATCATCAAATGTCACAGCACGCCACTGATTTTTATGGATGGTATAGGTTTTCAAAATCCATAACAGACCCAACTTCTTCATCAGGTAAACTTAATTCCTCTAATTCTTTTATTACATTCGTTAGGTTTTGTTCAACGAGAACATTGTTGCCTAGTTCATCTGAAATGAATCTATGTAAATGTTTTTCAAGAATGTATGTAGGTCCCCTGTATTTCATGCACTCATTAGAAGTGCATTTCGTGCACTTCTAACGAGTGCGTATTCACATTGCTCTAATATACTAGACAGGATGAAGGAAATTAATAGAATCAAAGAAACAGCTTCAAACTTGGGATATGAAAAGAGTACTATAGAAGTTCTTGTATTGTTTATTCGTCGCGAATTTCAGTATAGTGAATTGTTGTGTAATTGGGTGTAATGCTAGTTCACTCAAGAACAAAGGAACGTCATTTTTGAAAATTCCCGGCATTATTTGTTATCAAGGACCCCAAATTGAGGAGCTTTCACGACGAAGGCAATCTGTATGGCTCTCGAGAATTAACCAGAAAAATTTCAATACGGATAAAGTGAATATCAATAAAAGAGTTTGTCAGAAACATTTCATTTCAGGTATGCAATAACATTTGATTACTGTACTAGTTATCAATAAACGATTAAATAAACTTTTGCATGATATTATGAAGTGTGTACAAGCCGGTTGCATAAATGTCTTTGTTAATACCGACAAAATAATTTTAACAACCGCAGATTTTAGTTTGAATAGATAATAATTGTGTTCTAACTTTATTTTTCATCTTTCAGTTTGTTTTCTTAGTCTCTGCTTGTAATAAATGTACAGTAGAGTTAATATTAAAGCGCTAAGCTAAGACAATCACTTAGCAGATGAAGAATTAGAAATGAATTTTGAACCAATTGTCCTTCCAGTCTAATTTACATAAGTAAAGTATGTGTATTTTTAAAGATATAAACCAATAATTCCCATTGTTTATTTACAAATAGCAAAGTTAGGTTATTTTGGTGAGTAACATTAACATTTCTTTAAGATTCTACTTTTTACAATTTTTTTAAATATTAGTAACAAATAATCACTACATAGTAACTTTCAAGTTGTTCCTGACAAATTCTTATTTATTATTTATATATAACATACCATAATAGTAAATTCTTTTTAATAATAATATATTATTGGAAAAGTGATTTTTATCCCAAAGGAAAATTTTCCACATTTATGATGAGTCATCACCAGACTGGGTGCTAACATTATATATTATATAACATTATGAAAGAGCACATAATCAGGAGAAACACAGCCATAGTTATGGGCCTCTAAAGATTTTACAAATCTTTACAGACCCATAACTATCTTACAAGTTGCTGTGTTTCGCCTGATTTGTAAAAGAGTGCTGTAATTTGTCGTCAAAACCAAATAGTTTATGATGTCACCAAATTCTACTTTAGGCCACGACTCTTGATCTAAACGAAGATGCTGGCTTCGTATAGATCAACACCTTGATATAATGGAACTTTCTCTTCATATAAAGCAGCATTTCGTCCTGTCAGACTGCGAGAATAACCCGCCAGAAAAGCATATTTTTTAACTTTGTCCACGATATAAAAATACTACAGTTCTATTAAGTTTAAATTGAAAAAAGTGTTGTCAACCTATCAAATAACAAACCACGTGAAAACTAAGCAAGCGGAAGCTATATCACAAGCATAAACGTGCGTTTTATCACGTGACATGCGACCTTGAAACCTGTCTAGAAACAAGAAAAAACATTTCTAAATCATGTTTTAGTGTATTATCCATTCTGAAACTTAGTTCTATTTGTGTTAATTTCATTAAGCATCTTAAATATTTACCACCAATTGTTGGAATAAATGCTAAACTTCCAGTGCGGGATAGGATTGGATTGATGAAATAAGGCAACGCAACATTTGGGCGATCTGCCAAGTGGGATGCCTTCCAGGAGGACTTTTATTATAGGGAAACCGGTCCCTATTTAGGTACTAGACACGCGAAGAAAACCCGGAAAACTCCACGTGGCTAGATTGTTAGACTGGAACCTGGGACAAACTAGTAGTGTTCGGTGGTTTATCCACTCGGTCATTGATGAGCGAAATTGGAGGATACACAAACATAAAGTAATACAGTCGATCCCCCTATAAGATCATTGATTTTTCCGTTTTATCTGAATTACATGTTGTACGAGTCACTTAGATTTTACAAATATGTGAGCCGTTCACAGCCCGGCACACGTATTTGTAAAATCTAAGTGACTCATACAACATGTAATTCAGATAAAACGGAAAAATCAATGATCTTATAGGGGGATCGACTGTATTCATAAGAGAGTGATTAACAGAAATATAATTTTATCTAATCAAAAAGTTTTTGATATAAAATGACAATTCGACAAATTTTTAATCCTTAAGTAAATAATATGTAGTCCTATATGANGATGGAAACATTGGTAGACTCATTAGAGAAAATGAAAAATTAGAACTGGATGATGTCCCCGCTAAGGATTTTACTATAGAATTATGGCTTAAACCAGAAGGTGGACAACAAGATCCTGCTATTATTTTAAGTAAGTAATGTAGATTACATTTAGAATTTTGACAATTCGACAAATTTTTAATCCTTAAGTAAATAATATGTAGTCCTATATGAAAAATATTTTCTGGTGAAATATAATTTTCGAAAAATAACGATTTTTCATCTTAAAAATAGATATAAATCGATGATTTTAAATAACTCTATTTAGTCTGATAGATGTCATTTATATAACCTTTCGAAAATTTAAAGGTTACTTTTCTGGAAATAATCAACATTGATATATTGAAAAATGCTGAGAATTGCTCGTTTTAAATAAGAATTTAAAAAGAAATATTGCATCAATATGATGTTGCCATCTTTTCAACGTAGCATATTGCATCAAATGCATTGTCTTTATGCAAATAATGTATGACTTTTATGCAACATATTGCTTTGAAAAAGCGGCAATTTCAGAAATCCGAGAGACTTTACACAGGGAACTAAACAGCATTCTAAAAAGAGCTTTTTTGTGAGGGTATAAGTGAATTACAAGAGCATGCAAAAATTTATATAGATTACGGAGGAGGATATTTTGAAGACTGATACTAAATTGAATTATTTCTGCCAAAATTTTTTTATATAAAATCAGTCCCCGAAATTAGTAGATGCATCTTTGTATTGCCACTTAAAAAACTTTCAAATATGGTGAATTTGTAGCAATTCACCATATTTGAAAGTTATTAAATTGTATATTTACAGTATTTGCTTATTTTTGGGTCATTCAAGGGTATGCAATCTATACAATATATGCTGAAAATATGAACTTTGGATTGGATTAGATGAATGGAACAAGGCAACGCAACATTTGGGCGATCCTCCAAGTGGTATGATTCCTGGAAAAATTTTCAATGGAAAACTCGTCGTGTTTAGATATTAGACACGTGAAAAAACTCGAAAAATTCTACATGACCAGCTTGTTAGACGCAAACCCCGACCAACTATCAGTGTTCAATGGTTTTATCCACTACCATTGGTGTGTGATTTGAATTTTTAATCTTTTTGAGTAACATCTGAGTAATTATAAAAAAGATTGTGCGTTATATAATGAACTTATAACATTCTAATCCCGTTAGAAAAGTACTTAATTAAGCTACTGTTTGAATTAATGCGACTAATATATAAACTAAACGACAATATAAGAGAAAGTTCAATAAAATTCACATTGGGTGGGTTTCTTAAGCTAGGCGTCAGCTTACAAGGCCTCAAGTTTATATGAGGAATATGCTTGATAGAAAGTAAGATAAACTAGTGTAAAATGACAAGTTGGGAGGGAACGCCTCATCTGATTTATCTGATGAGCAAGTATGAAGTTGTAAATTACATTCGAACCTTGATCCATCATAACGTGCATGAATACGAATGTTATCATGCAATTATTCATCCGACGAATTGCATCAAAAATGCATTTACTTTTCATTGATTTAAATTTTAATTTTTTAAAATTAATTTTAATCAAGATCATATATTACCAAGTTATATGATGGTATTTTATAAAATGATCCTGATCTATAGTAGGCTTGTATAAAGAAAACAAAAGATAATTCTGATTTGATCGTACGGCAAATATGTGTGCATGAAAATTATATTATTATAAAACATTAAATGAGGCATTATACAGAAAATTTCGTCTTTTTGCTGTTTTTCAACCTTCTTGAATACGTGACCCCTTTACAAGTTAAAAAATTCTGGCGACCCCCAGTTCCATATTAAAACTATATCAGTGATTTTAAAAACTACGTATTTTTCTTTTTGTTTAGACCTAAATATCGATCGAAAAACCAATTGTACTGTAAAATAAACAGGCACAGCCTTCTCACTGAAATTGTAGTTTTTTTATTGTAGTGTAGGACCTACAAACATCTGTCTTTTTCTTTTACCCGCGGTCCCCGTGTAAGGCTTGTCGACCCCCAGGGGGTCGCGACTCACCGGTTGAAAAACACTGCTCTAAGATACAAATTGCCAAAGGTCGCTAACATTCCCAAGATGCAAACATTATCGCGTTTTTAATCACATATACTTCTCTACGTATATGATGAAATATTTTCGGAATTATCGTCGTTCATATTGCTAAATAAATGATACAAATCAGTTATTTTCGTCACTTTAAGGTTCATCATTCTCCATATTTCGATAAATTCACAACTATCTTGAAAACTGATTTTTCTTCTTTCCGCAAACCGATAAATCCGGGTTAATTTACTTTCCATTGTAGGGTCAAGGTTAAAGATATATTGCAATCAACTCGCCATCATATGAAGAAAACTTTCGTCAAGTCTTCAACTGTTACATTTTCGATACTTAAAACAGAGCTTCCTGTTTTTCTATCAGTCAGACCTATGACCTTAGAGAAGTATGCGTGCAATATTCAACTTTATCCTCTATCTCATCACATTTGCTCTAACCGTTGGAATAAATCTTCAGCGTCTAAAAGATCAAGTTTACGAATATCATACGGCACGAAGACTTCAAGCATGGAAGCAATGTAGTGCTAATCCTCAATCACCTGTGACTGCTGCGTTACATAACGCAGCAGTAACAGGTCCAAAAGTTGCAAATCTACAAAAACGCAATCGCAGGGATGTCAGTTCAAGGGATGTTGCTACACTTTTGGATGGAAACATTGGTAGACTCATTAGAGAAAATGAAAAATTAGAACTGGATGATGTCCCCGCTAAGGATTTTACTATAGAATTATGGCTTAAACCAGAAGGTGGACAACAAGATCCTGCTATTATTTTAAGTAAGTAATGTAGATTACATTTAGAATTTTCGGAATTCTTAATATCGTTTTTCTTGTGAATAAAATTCGATCCGTATTTACGGTTCTGATTACAGAATGATGCTATTTCAGCTGCATTCTACATCAGATTAGGATGATAAAACAAGATAAAATTGTTTATTAGGTTTACTAATTATAGACAACACGTAAACATGTATTCCCTCATTCTTCTAAAAATTTTAAACTTAAAATGGAAACAAGACAGTGCAAAATATGTTTTTTTCTGATTGTTTTCTTTTAAATTGCTAGTGATTTGTTTAATGACGTCAAATTTGATAAGTTTACGTATCAGTTAATGTGTACATAAATGTAATTTAAGTGTTGAAAAAATGATTGTAACAATTAGTGAATTATTTGATAAATTTTGATTTTATCATTTTAAACAATGAATATTTAACTCTATTTGCTTGAATAAATTTTTATTTATTCTTGTAACTGCATAATTTAAAAAATATTTTTATATTTTTAGAAGCTGAAAATTTATGTAGCACATTTACTAGTAAAGGATGGGAATTAGGTATTAAAGTTATGCAATATTATAAAAAGCGAAATGCAAGATTATATTTCTCAATGGAGACTGTCCAAAATCACCAGCCAACAGTATTATTTGCTCCATTCAACTACAAACCTGGTAAATGGGTTTATGTCTTAGTTTCTTATGATAGGAATACTCTTATATTGTATATAAATGGAGCACAGGTTTGTAATTTATTTTAGAAGTTAAAAATGTTATCTTATTAATTTAATGGATGCTCATATATCAATTTCCAGGTTGCAGTTAGTAGAGTGCAAAAAGGAGATGTATTTATTACAGATAGAACATGCTCTCTTTTACATCTAGGAGGATATCGAAATTCATATATCCGTGGCACCATTGATAAACTGAGAATATGGAATCACTCAGTTTTTCCTGGTAATGTTAAAAAATATATGAAAGGGCATACAAATAGTGAATATGAGAAGTTACTTTTTGATGAATTTGATTCACTTGACCAATGGTTATGGAACAATACATTTAATATTGAAAATTCAAACCCAAAATTAGTTGCTTCGGATATACCTACTAATCCTTTATCTTTCCAATTTATGCCTTCCATTTGTGGATTCACTCTTTGCGATGATCCAGAAATAGTAAGAAGCTATCAATCTAGTTGGGAATTGAGACGTCCAAAGAAAATAAGGTAAGTTATGAATTTATACAGTCAACATTTAAGTTTATAGTGACATAAAAATAAATGGTATATTTATATTTATTCATCCTTGAATTGCAAATCAGATTATCCAAGGACATGTTCTATGTTCTTATAATTTATTATTACATTAAACTAGAACAAAGTTTAAAATGTTCAAAGTTCAAAACAAGATAATTGTATACTAAATATTTTTACAACCATATCTACAAATTATAAATGTTTCAAATTTTTAAGTAATTGCATTAATTCTGATATGATTTATCACTTTTAATTATAGATAGAAATTTTCAAATTAATCAAGCAATTAAAATAAGATAATTGTTTCAGATATCGAATCATAAATGTGCGAAATTCAGATGGATCAAATCCAACAGTTACTGATCAACAGATTATCAATCAACATCGTGCCCTACAGTCAGCATTTTTACCTTACAACATAACCTGGGAACTGTATAAAGAATCCATATATAACACTTCACTCAGATCCCATACAATAATGTTCGGTTGCAATCCACAAAATATTGGAAATGGACGATGTGATCCAGAGTGTCAATTCACTGTTACTGGAAATGATGGGGGAGATTGCAATAAAGAAGAAATTAAATGCACTAAACAGCAGTTAGAAAATGGAATTTGCAATCCAGAATGCAATCAAGTATATAATAATTGGGATAACGGAGACTGCTGTAAAGAAAAACAATTAAATAATTGTATTGATCCATCTTCACCAAACAGGTAAAGCTATTAAGAAACAATAAATGTAATACATCATTTATGCACAAAATTCTTGAAACATTGTTATTAAAAATGTATGTAATTTACAAAAACAGAATAAGTGAAAAGAGAGATTCCTAAGTTATATCAAACATTTTCTGAGTTTTACTAATTTTGCTCTTTTTTTTTCATCTTTAAAAAACAATCATAATTTATTTATTTTATTTATATAGATTATTAGAAAATGCATTTTAATTTATATATTCTCAAATAAAAACTTTTCCAGCAATGCCTGAATTGTTTTGTCATTCTAGTCAAGTCAGACATTGATGCAATGGTTTTATTATGCAATTTGAAAAAGATAAGTCACTTGTAATCATGCAACATGAGTAATCTGCAGGAGCTGTAAAATTGTGGCTGCTGTGGAAGGAGTGACAATGGATATGCTGTAGGGAGTGTAGAAGGAATTTGAGTATCAGTTGAATGTACGCCATGTGGCACGAGGTGCATATATTGAGAAATTGTATGAGCAAATGTGAAACTCAGACAGATTTTCAATGTTTTGATGTACATTAAAATGTTCTCAGATAGTAATTAACATAATTACAATAATTTTAAAATGGTAACACACTTTTAAAGATCCTGTAAACAAACATTTATAGTTACATAATAAAATACATTTCAAATTTTATTATTCTTTTTCCAGAAACAGTTGTGCATGTTGGTTTAATTTTAATTTATATTTTACTTTATTTAAGTTTTTTTCTATATGTTAATGATAAAAGAAGTAGAAACGGATAAAAGTAATATATTTTGTAAGCAACATTAATTAGCCATTAGTTTTGTATATTACAAAGTATATATATTATCATCATAATTATCTACTTATATTAATTTTTAACTTTCTTAAAGAATATATTTGGACATTGAAGAATATAAATCATTACTTAATTTCAATAATTCAAAGTATCTTAATATTCTATTTGCAAACTGGACAAATAAGGATATATTAGGGATAGCAACCTTTCCCTGGGAAAAAGAGGTTTATTCGGAGTATGGTAAGCTTAATTTAAAATATTTTATTTATTCACCGTATTACACTGTATTTTTATTTTTTCATAGAATTTTTTAAATTGAAAAACAGGTGGAGTTGTGGTGAAGCCTGATGAATTTGGAAGAAAAGGAAAATTGGATACATTAATTCATGAACTTGGACATGTACTAGGATTATGGCATGTTCATCATGGAATCAGTGAAGTGGATTGCCATGATCCATGTTTTGAGAAGGAAGCTAGTATGAATGTAGGAGATTTATGTGAAGATACAAATCCAACACCAAGTAATGAAAAATGTCATGACCCTCCATATAAAATAGATAGATGTGGAATTTCAAAATTTGTTAATACTCCATTTAAAAACTATATGGGTTATACAGGTGAATTATAATTTTATATTCAATATGAATATTATAGTACATGTATATACTTCTATATATTACAATAATGTAGTAAATTATTACACTTTTATCATTTTTATTTTAAGAAATTATTATAATTTTGGCTTAGATGGCCAAGCAGATAAAGCAGCAGCTTCAGTCTGGGATATCTGATCTTGAATAAGTCTGAAACCCCAGGAATTTTTCATGGGGTGGTCCATCTCACTTTGTCAAGCCCTTTCACCTCAATATGTCACCAACCAGATGCCCTGTTGTGGGGCTGACCTAACCAATAATGAGCTTGCTAAAAAAGAAAAGGCCTTCTTAGTGCTCACTGGGCAGAAAGAATTTAAAAAAATTATTATTGATACAATTTCAAAAGTTTAAGAAAGTGTCAGAGTTGCAATTTCTTAAAAATTTAAATTTCATTTTTAAAATATAATAGTGATTATTTGTACAAAATTAAGTATCTTTCTCTACTAAATATGATAATGAAATAATTTTTAAAATCAAAATCATTTAAATTTAAATGATTAATAATTTCTTAAAATGATTTTATTTTTAACATTTATACAAGACTTAATAACTATTCTTAAATATTTTCAAGATTAAATATCAGAAAAAATTTTTAGTACTAATTTTTTATTAAAACAGTTTAAACAAACTGATTTTACCCTATTATAAATTTACTTCAAATTCAAAATTTTCAGTAAATAGTGACTGGCTTTGCAGTATTTATGCAACTATATTATTTTGAAGACATATTTAATTAAATTCTTAATAATATATAAAATTATTTCTAATTTTAAACAATTTATACTAGAATCACATTTTACATCTTCAGTTAGTCAATTTATTTCAGGAATAATAGCTGAGATTAGTATTTTATGGAAGACTAGCTGTTACCTGCGGTTTCACCCATGCGGAATTTGCAATTTGATAGAAATAACCCTCCTCTTGATACTTCACTAAGATTCTCAACATTAGTTGTTACTATAAAAACAAAAAATCGCATCTAAAATAGTAGAAGACATTCTTCAGGTTAAGCCTTAATCCTCTCCTTCTTCCCCCGTGGGGAAATTTCAAAAAATCCCTTCTTAGTGTGCATTTTCATGATGTACCCTAACTGTGTCCCAAATTTCACCTCTTTAGGTTCAGCGGTTTGCTCTGGGCGACGATAAATCAGTCAGGACATGTAATTTTATATATCACAAGTTCGGACATGTGCACTGCATATCTCACCGTGTGGTTACCTATCTCGTATACGCCCCTTGCCACATGTTGACATCAAAAATATAACACTTGTTTTCCTAGATGATATCTTTTAATTTATATGAATGTTTAACAGAATAATATACAGCCTATGTCCACCCTGAAGGTCCATTCTAAATATTGGTGAAAGAATTTTTGAAATCGGATGAGTAGTTTCAGAGATTACCTCCTATATCCAAACTTACAAACTTTACCTCTTTATAATATTAGTATAGAAAACAATCTTAAGAGCATGGCAGGTCTTATTTGACCAACTTTGTAATAGGTAATGCATTGGCTAAATAGATGCACCACATTGGGTACTTAATATAAAAAAGTTCAAATTTGAACACATCAGACAGTCTTCTACACATTCGAGGGAAATCAATACACATTTATAGCTGCTAATACATGTCAATGATATTTGTGAAATAAAAATTAGCAAGGCATTGTTAGATAGTTATTATTCCTGAGATTAATTTGAAATTTAACTATTTTTTTATTCACTATTAATTCATTAAATACATAAAAAATATTATCAATTATTAAATTCAATTTAAATTTTCAATGTAATGTTCTTTTCCATATTCTTCAACTTATCTATTTACATCTATAGCTTTCTAGGATGGCAAAGTGCAATTCTTTAAATCTGTATAGAGCTTTAAAAGTCCTTTCTCTCCATTTTTTGTTAATATAAATCCAATTTAACTTAAGCATTTCATTCAATAAAATTTTATAATTTACAGATTGTGCTAGTTCTTTTAGTGCACAACAAGCAGCAAGAATGCATTGTTATATAGACTTACAATATCAAAGATGGAATGAAAATTTTTATATTCTACCACCTCCCCCTCTTTCTCCAAAAATCGTCTCTTCATCACAATCATCTCTCACTTTAGCTTGGATTCCACCTCTTTCGAGGATTATTGAAAACAATTTTGACTGTTCTAAATGTACTAAAGATTTAGAATTAATACAATTTGCTCAAAAAGCAGAAGCCTCTAGTTCTTTCCCAGATTTTTGGTTACCATCACAAGCAACTGGTAAATTTTTACACTATGATATAAACTGTTTTATTACTATTTTAAAGTTTTAATTTAATATTTATAGGTCCACCTGATGCTCAGATTTGTGTTATAGATGATAAAGTTTGGATACCATATTCACACAACAGATATGAAGATTATGAACTTATTCTTAGTTTTGAATATCCAATAATTCCAAGTTTATTATCTATATGGATAACATGGAAAGCAAAACATGATTTAAAAGAAATTGAAATAATATTTACAGATGGGAGTAATATTATATTAACTGATATACACACATATTGTGATATTCCTTATACAATACCACTTTTTGTTAATAAAGAACTTAGCAAGGTGAATCAAATAATTTTTATTCTCAAAAGTGTAATAATTCGATTTTATTTAGACAAATGATTTTTATTTTAATAGGTTCGTTTAACGGGTAGTTTCTTATTTGGTGTGGATTCAATGCAAGTCATATCTACAGCTAACAATGATTACTGCACAAGATGTAAACCTATGCATTATCGAATATCACGCACTCCAGAGTTTTCGATGGGATTACATCAAGAGGTGGATAGTAGTGAATTTACAGACAAGTACAATTTTAAAATTTCTCTACATAATAAAAATATGTGTAATTAATAATTTTAATTTAAAAACATATTCAATATTGGAAAATTGGATATGTTTTTAAATTAAAATTATTAATTTATTAATTATCTTATTTAATTTTTTTATTATAAAATTACATTGAAAGTGATTTTAAGTTAATGAAAAACCAAATTTATTGAATTATAAATTAATATGGAAGTGATGATGTATGTGATGATTTATTGTTATGTTACTGAAAGAATTTTCAGGAAACAGTTGTTTGCAGATACATCAGAAAAATGAAATTTAATTTTAATACCATTTTCAAGTGTTATTTGAGATTTACAAATAAAAATTTAAAATAATAAAACTGAAGATTTACATTTAATTAAGCTAACATAACCAGAAATATTAATATACAGGTAACCCCCGTATAACACAGTAGTTACGTTCCAAAAAATTGCCGTGTTATGCGAATCAGTGTTATACGAAACAAAGAACTAGTATGAAAAGGAGGGTTAGGTTCCAAAAATTAAAAAACATGCTATTATATTTTCATAATTAAGATAAATATCTTAAAATTTTTTAAAGAAGTTATACATATTAATATAAATTAAACAATATTTTCTTCATCAGCACTAAGCACTGTTAACTGAGGGCATTTTATTTTTTGCAAGATATCCTTATTCTCTGAGCATTTTTCTGCATTATGTTCATATCTATATGCTATCTTTTGAACAAAAAAAAGGTTATTTTACATTGCTTGCTTTTAGATAAAAGATCTGTATAAATTTCTTTATATGGTACTAAGCACTTATGAAGTTCTCTTTTGAACTTTGTGCTCCTTTCATTTGAAGGATCTTCATTTAAGAAATATGACTCTAACTGTTCGGCTAATCCTAGGCCTTTCTTTATGCTTTGTAGAGTAAACTTTTTAACTTCTTTGTCTTCAGTTGTGCTATCATCCTCTGAGTTATCATGGATTCCAGATATCATTTCTACCAAACCTGCTTCATCAATTTCTTCTTCCACCAGTAATTCTTGTATATCTTGTGCAGTCATATCCTCAAAACCTTCTCCTCCTAGAGACTTAGAATTTCTACTACCTCATCCATTCTGTTTTCTGCTGTCTCGATCAAATTTTCACTTTCAATTGACTCTGGCCATATTTTTCTCCAACATCCATTTAACGTCGTCGGTTTTATTTCTCTGATGGATGAGTTTATTATGTTAATGCAGTCCAAAATTGTGAAGAGTTTCCACGTCTCCTTAACATCCATAGATTCATCATCGATTTTATTCAAAACCCATTGTAATGATCTCCTTATATAATTGGTTTTAAATGTAGCTATAATTCCCTGATCTAATGGTTGAAGAAAAGCAGTTGTATTTGGAGGTAAAAAAGTTATTTTGATATTTGGGTGATTTAAATCTTGCAGATGGCTGGGTGCATTATCCAATATAAGTAGAACTTTAAAATCTAAATTTTTCTGTTTTAAGTAGTTTTCCACACTTAATACAAAACAGTTTAAAAACCATTTCTTAAATAATTCAGTAGTCACCCAAACTTTTTTATTTGCTACCCAGTATACAGGTAAATTACACTCTTATTTAGGTTTTTCATTGCACAAGGATTAAGAGATTTATAAACCAGCATAGGTTTTATCATGTAATCGCCTGAAGCATTACTGCACATAAGTAATGTTACATGCTCTTTTGATACCTTGAAACCTGGCACAACTTTTTCATCTTTAGAAATATATGTCCTCTTGGGCATTTTTTCCACCAATGCGCAGTCTCGTCAGCATTAAAAACCTGATGTGTTGAATATCCACCCTCTTCAATAATTCTTTTTAATTCCATTGGATAAATTTTGGTGGCTTCTTTATCGGCTGATGCACTTTCACCCTCTATTTTTAGGTTTTATAGTGATAAGCGTTTTCTCATTCGATCAAATCACCCTTTGCTAACTACAAAATCTGGATTAGTAGCAGTTTCTCCATTTTCCTTTAAGTAGTTGTAAATTTTCAAAGCTTTGTATTTAATAATATTGGTGCTCAGTGGAATCCACTTTTTTGAACAGTCTTCAATCCAGATGCTAAGGGCTTTTTCTATCTGTTCAATTATTGCTGCCCTAGGACAAGATGTCATGTTTGAGGAGATAGAACAGCCTGAGCAATGGAATCTCTAATTTTCTGTTCATTTTTCCTTATAGTCCATATTGTTGCTTCATTTAAATCCAATGATTTGGTTACATATGATATCTTTTCGCCCTTTTTGAGCCGATCTAAAATTTGTAATTTTGTTTGTATGGAGATGAAATGTCTTTTAAGAGACATTTTTTCATTTTTGTCAGACATGGCTTAGGGCTACAAATTCATAAAAATATAAACATAATTATTATTTCTTTAAAAAAGGTTGAGTACAATACTACAGTACTGTACTTACCTGAAAATTTTTATTCTATGTAGCCAGAAAAGAGACACAATTAAAGTTTTAAAGTATACTTGTAAAGGTGTTGTAAAGTACTATATTATTTTTCTGACTTTTTCAACGATTATCGACACTACTGCGTGCCGGAAATAGCCGTTCCCTAACAGGTACTTTACGCGGATTCGCGTTAGTGTGCCAGGCCTGGACTTTAAGCATGCACCGAATTAAATAATGACAAAGTTTGTCAATAACAAAAATCAAATATTTAATTAAACTTCTAGTAATAAACTATATACAGTATTTAGTAAAAATCAAACAATAATTTATTCAATGAAATTCAACAAGAATCAACCCGACAAACTCAAATCAATCTATTTCTAACTTAATTCTATTCCCCTTTGGAATTCGACAAAATCAAAGACTTAACTTATAAACAATATTTCTTATAAATTAAAGATCCTAATCGTCACCTCAATATACTAGGAACCTATTTCCTCAAACTCTCAAGACTTTCTATAATCGTCGATCCATAAATCGAATAACTTCAAAATCGCCTTGGAACTATTTGATCCTATCGGACACCTCTCTCGTTCACTGCTACGAAGCTCACCAAAGCTCGTTACTATCAGGAGTTCACCTCGTTCATCTTCACTTGAGACTCAGGATTTATAGTGTGAGGTGACGTCACAATTCTGAATGAGATCACTCACCTCACTTACATACTTAACACTAACAATAAACTTTTTTCGTTTGTCTGGCAGCCTATTTTCCGACAATACTCTCTAACCTTTTACATTATTCTTTTTCACAATTTTCGGGACATTTTTTTTTTTTTCTTTAAGGTTTAGCGAGTCCCTAATTCGTGCTTGTGGGTCTCCCCCCCCTTTTCTCGGTGCGGACTTACTTTTTTCCGCTCGGGAAGCACAAGTGTGCGCGAGTTTTTCTACAGCGCTTTTCTTTCGTCGGTGAGTTGGTTTTTCTTCTATTTTTAAGTTACTAAGGTGAATGGTGAGGAAACCTTTGTCCTAACAAAACATAAGCCCCAAACAATAATAGAATAATAAGCAAAATAAAAGTAAATAAAAATAACGTTCGGACTTGGTTCCTTACAGTGTGAATTGTCCCAAGGGTCAGAGGTGGGATTCAATGCCTAAAAACCACTGACATAATAAAGCAAGTACTTAACTATGTAAATTTTCTTTTCCTGCCTTTTGTCAATATACATGCTATTTCTCAAAACTTGTCTCAATGTTGCCAGATCTCGACGCTTCTGCTTTTGATGTTGCCAAATGTTTTTCTCTTATTCCATACTAATATTTCACGAAAATTATGCAGGAAAATCTGATAGTACATACGCACTCAAATGAAAAATGTCAAATGAGGTATCTTTCGCACTAAAAGTTTTATCACGTTGTATGGGGATTTCCCTAATTTCAAATTAGATAAACTTTGCTTTTAATAGTTTTAATTACATTTCATGTATGACAATTTTACCCAATTTTCGAACTGTGTCAGAGTGAATCCGTGCTACAGAAGTGCCGTGTTACACGGGGGTTACCTGTACCATATTATATTCAAAGTAACATATATTGAATAAAATATTAAATGATTTATAAGCTTTGGATATACAGTGGGTGATCAGTTAATGATCCGTTCCAAGACTTTGTTCGCTATCCGAATTGTTCGTTAACCGATTAACGATTTACCATAGGTTTTAATGGGAATTTAATTAATTCGTTCTGGAGACCCCAAAAATAAAAAATATATACTTTCTTACTACGTTTATTTATATGTAATAATAAAAATACATACATACTCAGTCTTGCATTTTTATTAGTCATGTTTTTTCCGTTTGAAAAGGTTAAAGAATCTGTCTAATATCGATTGATTTTCTCTCTTCTTCAGGATTTTTCGTAAGTAATTAATAGCATTGCAATTGTAGAAATCATCAAGCCTCAACCTGGTTTAGATGCCATTCTAAGACCGTTGTTCTGACATCCTCCCACTTCTTCAAACGATCTTTAATAACAGATATCGGCATTAATCCTCTTTTTCAGAAGAAAACATACCTCGCCGAGATTCTTGGTGTTCTTCATTCAAGAGTTCTTAGCGTTCTTCTATCGTCAGATCCGTTTCGGGTTCCATTATGAACTCTTCGATGTTCTTTATTTCTCAGAT